AAAAATGAATGTTCGAGGCACGTGCATATTTGAAAACAATCATGTTTGCCGATTTCAAAAAGAAATCGAAATCGAAACATTTATTCAAATTACAGAATTGGAGGTATCACCACAATTCAGAGGAAGAATCACCGAAGGAATATACGCCATAGAATTAACTATTTGAAAATGTCTCCAAACAGCATTATCTAACATTGCTTCCCCCTTAAAGTATGAATAACTCAGCTTCTAATAATAAAATCACAACTTTGGACAGGGCATAGATATTTGTATTATATAATTTATTTTTTATAGTAAGTCGGTAATAGTAAATACAGTAGTACGTATTTGATTTGTAGATTTATGATTTTAACCAATTTTTGTTATTGTTATTGAATTAAGAAATAGTTTAAGTGATTTCATGTGATATGACCTATATGTATAGGGTAATTTATTTACAATACTATTAACTACAGCCAATTTGAGAGACCGAGATACTAACCTTAAACTTGTACAGGATATAATGTGATAGGAAAGAAACCTCACCGATATTTATCGTAGAACATATAAGTCGTGAAATAAAAATTATTAATTTTGACATTTATAGACATGATACAAAAATATGAATGACCAAAACAAGAATTAAAAGTAAACTATCTAAGCCTAGTCAGTGTAGCAAATACATATTTGTAAGGAGAGTTATGTTTTACATACGTAAATTGAAAATAGATCATACATCGTTTGCAGGTCGGACCAGTATTTGGGTCGCATGTCAATAAATAGGGTGAACAAGGACGATATTATTATGAACCAGATTTGACAAATTGCTCTTCAATAATAATATTAGGGTACATAGTTAGGTTACTAACATTTAACACTGACCACAATATTGCAGGACAATCACATGTACTTGCCAAATTTTGGCGGGAAGAAAGTTTTATACAACAAAATTTAATAACATATCTGGGGAGTTACGGGATAACACTGGATGTTTCATTATTAACAATGGCTGTATTATCAGTTCAGTGTATTTAATCACATTTCAAGTACAGCCCACAATAAACAAATTCAGAATTTTAAAAACAATTTGCACAATATTTCAGAAAATACATGTACCTACACTAAACTGCACCAATATTATACATTGATTAATGAAGGGAAAGCTCGCAAAAGATTTGAGAAATATAAAATACTTTATCCTTGACAAAAGCGAATGTTAACGACACCGAAGATGACGTTGGAGATGCGACCAATTCTGTTTCATTAATTACAGGTTAGACATTATTAAAACTTGTTACTGCCGAAACAAATCAGTTTTATTGCAAATTTATAAGATTTACTAAATTATCAATTGCATTCTTTGTAAAATGTCATAATAATCAATAATAAAAGTTCACTTGGTAAAAAAGAATATCAAATTGGACAGGTAAAATTGACTACATAATAATAGTAAAAAGCCACGTGAGAAATTAATGTTTTGTTAAGGTTGGTTAACAAAACAATGTTTATCGATGTTTAAAATATGTATTAGTTGGAAAAATAAAGCCAGGAAAAAAGAACGTATTTCGAGGGAATTGGTACCTAACCACCCTTTACTAGTAGTAGCCTTGGGCTCTATAAAGTCTAACACAGCACGGAAATATCAGCAGGAAATAAGTCCTTCTAATGACGTATTTAATCATAATGATGTTTAGTATCAATGTGAAATGCACGTCTCGTTTGACCCTACATGTATGCAATAAGTGGCGATTGAATACGAAGTAGAGTACACCCACTACTAAAATCGTAGAAGCCAAAAAACGAATGGATTGTTATATTTGCAAAGTTGTTTTTTTGATGTATTGCCGACCATCACCAAATGAAGGAGTTCACGCCAATTTTCTTTAAATGTTGTTTTTCGGGCAAACGTCAAAACCATTTTAGGTAACAGTTACTATACTTTGACTAAAATAAAATAGTTTTAAAATGATTTTAAAACTCAACTAGTGCTTCACGACATCTTGATATAATTTCCTTGCCAGAAATTATTCCTCCGTAATTGTAGTTACTGCCTAATAACTAACTGTCGGTAGAATGACGGTCTGTAGACACTTTCTTCTCTATTCGTATAAGTAAAAATTGGCAAATAACACATTTTATTCTCAATCTGCCTCAAATATACTTTTCAAACATATTACCTCCAGGTTTACTTCTTATGCACCTGGGTACTAAATATCGACAGTACTGCGTGGTTTACAATTGTTCGAGTTGCTTTCTTAATAATCTGTTAATGCTCATTTTATATTTTCAGCAGGTATTATGACCAGTTTATGACA